CCTACTACAAAAGGCACGGATTTACTTCTCATGGAGGCACAGATTTGCTTTCGCGAGAGGTACGGTTGTGCCTCTCGAAAAGGAAAAAATGTGTTTTTTCGCGAGGTGCCTCTTGTAAAAGGGGAAAACGTGTTTTCCATTTTTTTTTTACCACGAGAGATACGGATTTACTTTTTGTGGAGGCACGGATTTGCTTCTGCGAGAGGTATGTCCGTGCCTCTAGGAAAGGAAAAAAAATGTGTTTTCTTCTTTTTTTCCTTCCGCAAGAGGCAGATATTTACTTCTCGTGGAGGCACGGATTTGCTTATGCGAGTGCCTCTCGCAAAAGGGATAAAAAACGCGTTTTCTTTTTCTTCCTATCACGAGAGGCGTGGATTTACTTCTTGTGAAGGCACGGATCTGCTTCCACGAGGGGCACGGCCGTGCCTTTCGGAAAGGGAAAAATGTAATCCCTATTCGGGTTTTTTCTACCGGTTTTTTCGTGAAAAAACGTTCGTCGAAACCTATCAACATGGGATCTTATTTTGAAGATCCTAACACGACGAATCCAACAGTGAAACAAGATTTGGACTCGCGGTTTGAGAGATAAACATTTTGAAAAACAAATCTACAAAAGAAAAGAGAACCTCTAAGGTTGCGGCAAGTGGCCAGTGCGACGCTTGTGGCAACCTGGAGAGATGTGGGTGGTCTTTGCAAAGAGTGCTCTTTAACTAGTGATTTCGGCTTAATGCAATTGTATCCAATGCATACAAATATGTTTTGCAGAAAACATTTAGTATGTATGCTCCGATATGCATTTATATATGGTGCATGACACTATGAGAGTCTATTTGCGTACAACCCAGGGGGAAAACGAGGAAGAAAACGATTTGGCTGCTACCTGGGCCAACAATGCTAATTTGGCTGCTACCATGCTACAGTGTGCTACACTTCTAGGGCGTTGTGTTTTAACCGGTTCTGTTGTTCGGGTCAAATTAAACTGGCCTTAGAGTTCGGGGTTGAGATATGAATTTCTCTTATTCTAGTTTTTTTTTGCAACTAAGATGCTAACTATGTTCATTTGAACTATATTGAGGTGAATAATTTTAACATCGTCCCTCTTACCTTCTCTTTTTTTTAGAATTCTTACCTCCTCTTTTGACTGGGCTATAAAAGGTATGCAAAATTATATTATTTCTTTTCAAGTCGGTGTCGAGTTGAGCTCAATGCTCAATCGCCTTGAAGACAAATATCGGATCACTTTAATATGCCATGGTTATGTATTTGATATGATATATGATAGGACATGAGTGTGCCTGATATGAAATCATGGCAATGGAGACTAAGTAAAACCGACCACAATTCTGTCAGGCAGAGTCTCAAATTAAAGAGTTTCTTATTCCTGTTTCGACATTTCAAATTATTTTCATGCGATCGATCATGCATGTTTAGTTCCTTACAAATTGAACATTTCCATGGAGACAAGAAAATGATGGTTTCAGTCAGTAGTTCATGCCTCCAGAGATTTTTCTCGCCGGCATGACATTTGGTGGTGGTGGCACTTTGGACGGCGGCGGTGGCGGCACTTCCGACGGCGGTGGAGGACTATGCTTGCTGCATCTCATGGTACATTGACAGTGAAGTTCTTTAACAACCCCTCTACGTGTGCAGTAGCCGCCGGTGAAGTGCTCGTGGTGGCACGTCTCCGTGCATTTCCTGTTGTTGCATGAGCCACTATAAAGATGGCTAGGGGAATGGCATATCCGGGGACGGGGATGAACCGCCTCCACACGTGCACCACAGAATTAGATTTTTGTTTCTAGCACAAGAGTGGATGCATCTTTTTAACAGGATGGGCATGTTGTGTGGCGCTGGTCTCTGAACTTACTGTGGATCATGATGAGCAAGCCCAGGGCGAAGGCACCAAACAACTGTGCTCTGTTGAACCCCATGGCCAACACGAACACGATTAGGCTTCGCTTTGCTTTTGTTTTCGATGTGATGGGATGGGGTCGATGTGAACTCATCAGCCTGCTATTTATAGATGTTCCTTCGAGCTTGCATTGAATGTCTGAGATGGATACCGATGTGGGAATCCAAATGTTGGATATACAGGCATTAGTACTGCTACTATATTTTTATAAATGCAAGTGCATCCAGTAGTGCATTAGTACACACATACTGTAAATGTGTGATATCCAGATGTTGGATACTGTAAACGTGCAGCTCATGTTCTTTCCAAATCAGCAGAGTACTACTACTCCCTCCGTCCGAAAATACTTGTCGAAGAAATGCATAAAAATGAATGTATCTAGAATTAAAATACGTCTAGATACATCTATTTCTCCGACAAGTATTTCCGGATAGAGGGAGTACTATTTTTCTGGTGTATTGAAGTTTCCGTCATTTTTTTCTAGTTTTACTGCAACTAGCGGGTGTTATGCATTTTCATTGACTACTATACATGATCACAGAAGGGATCAGGTGGGCAGCTGATTCCGGGCGAATTCGGAGGAAGCAGCCTATCAACTACTCCCTCCGTCCGAAAATACTTGTCATTAAAATGGACAAAAAGGGACGTATCTAGAACTAAAATACATCTAGATACATCCCCTTTTATTCAAATTGATGACAAGTATTTCCGGACGGAGGGAGTACCACCTTCATTCCAAAAAATAATACGTTTTGGTAGGCTAAACTGGAGGTTGTAGTAGCAATCAGAGTCTGCTGTTATGTGCGACTATTGTACTGGATATTTCTATTAGGAAATTAATGTAAAGGGGGTGTGAATGCGGTTAGGAAAAACAAAAACTAGCAGTCGGAGTCTGTTTTGTAAAAGCAGCCAAATATAGAACTTGATCTTTGCCTTATTAGGTTAGATTTCCCACACCGTTTCAAGGTAGGATTGGGGATTTCTACAAAGAGCTTGGCATCATAGGCTGGATAGGCAGAGTACAGTTCACTGTCGGAGGTAGACCACTTAAAACGATTGTTGAACAGAGGATATGAGCAGGCTCTGTAAAAAGTCTGATAAAGTTATCGAGTTAATCTTCGGAGGAGTTCCTATGGAGGCCCCTCGTCCTACAACCATCAGAGATAGTTGTCGACAGAAATCGTG